ACGGGGGTCGACACGCAACCACTCGCGCGACGTGCGTGGACGGAAGGTGCCGAGCTGTGCACCCTCGACTGCTGACAGGAACGAGCGGTGGTTCCTGTCAATCCCACGGTTCAACAGCGCCGGTGTGTCGTACGCCATACCTGCATCAAATAGGTTGATCAGAAACATATAAATAATTAGTTCAACATAAGTAATAAATGTTCATAAGCGAATTACTAACACATATTAAACAAGAGTACAAACAAACAAAAGTGTTTAGTCCGAACACTCATCACGATAACATTATGATACAACACCGAATAGTTCGCAATACTACTAGTACAACAATAGTCGGAGGTACTCATTACAACAACATTGAATTGAAATTACACGATAGAAGTATTTAGTCCGAACACTCATTACATCACAACAGCATTTTATTTCCTAAATCGAAAGCATTGTTACACCATGGAATCGCCTGCTGCGCGACGACGCCTTGGCCTTGCGCGCCTGCTTGTTGTTCCTTCACCAGGTGGTCGCCTACCATCACTTGCCTGTCCAGATGGACTAGCATCTGCGCCGCTTGGAACTTCTGCATTCTTCGGGCATTTCTTGTAAGTATGGCCGCGCAGATCACACTTGCTGCAGCGTAAAGTCCTCCCACCTGCTTCTGACTCATCCATATCATTTCTGATGCGTGTAGTTTGGCGTCCACCCTTTTTCACCCTTAACTTAGATGGATCTGGAATATAAAAAACTTGGGCACTCAGCGTTGTGTAAGATCCTGAGATCCCGAACCCATATATCTCCTCACTCCATGTATGAAAGATTGCTTCTTTCCTGAAATAATTTGAGACGTACACATTGGGAGATATACCACAATCACCGGCAGCAGCAAGAACGTGTGAGCAAGGAAGGTGACGAAGCTTCGGCTTCATACAACTGCAGGTACATCCACCATCCGCCTTCAAGACACATTCCTACACGGCTTGCTTGCGATAGATACCACGCCTGCTCCTATCAACACACATTATTTCATACCGATGCACTTGTGTGCCTTGAGCAACAACTCGATGTCTCCGTGCCTTTTTGATTTTATCTTCCATGTACTTTGTCACTACGTTGCCAAACACTATGTTGTTATCGGCCATGGACAGACCAATTTTCTTGTATCGATCCCTAAAGTACGCTTTCGTGCCGTGAAGGATGAATTCAACAATAGCAACCAATGGAAGTACCCGAACTCCTCGCATTACCCAGTTGTACACCTCTGCCAAATTGGTTGTCATTATGCCATACCGAGATCCATCGGTGTCGAACAATAGAGACCACTTCTCCTTAGGCTCATTCTCAATCCACTGAGTGAAATTTCTGATGGACGACCCTGACCTCCTTCTCATTGTTGGTGGGTCATCATGTAATGCACCAAGAGGTATGGAAGGCTCGTCACCTTCAACTAGTGGTCTGCGAGATTGCTCATCTGTTTGCTTCGTTGTCAACTCATCCAACTTGTCCCACAACTCATTAAATTTCTTCTCTTGGTTCTGTGCACAGAGCCTCTTAAAGAGCTCCATAAGATGCTTGTTCTTGAATTGCTTGTAGAAATTTGCACCCATGTGACGCATGCACCACCGACTCCGAACATCAGGCCACTTAGCTGGAAGTCCCTTCTCATCCCAACCGTTCTGCAAGTAGACAATAGCCCGCAACATACCCGCATGACGATCATGTATAAGGCAAACGTTGGGCCTCATACGCACCACTGCAATGTGCACTCTCTCTAGGAACCAGTACCAGCTTTCAGTGTTCTCACTCTCTACAAATGCAAAAGCCATAGGTAGAACCTGGTTGTTCCCATCACACCCAATTGCTGTCAATATCTGACCTCGGTATTTACCTGTCATAAAAGTTCCATCTATGCATAGAACAGGTCGACAATGCACAAAAGCATTGATGCAAGCACCCAATGAGAAAAAGGCTCTTTGCAGCACACTCTTTGTTCGATCATCAACCGATGTAAATGTATGTAGGTCATAGTACGTATTATTATTCCTCTGGGCAATGGTGGCTAACAAACGAGGCAAATTATCATAAGAAGCTTCAAATGTGCCATACCTCATCTCAATGATCTTTTGTTTGGCTCTCCAGGCCTTTGCATGGCTTATGGTGTACTTGAATTTGTTCTCGATGTGCCTAATAATTGATTTTGGTTCAAAGCCAATGTTACCAACAACACTGCTGTACATCTCACTTGCCACAAAAGCTGAAGTGATGTTTCGGTGATACTTCTCCACCCCTTGTAAGTAGCACTTGTGCTCGGTCACAATGCTAACTTTCCAATAATCATTCCATTTACCCTTATATGCATGGACACGCCACGGACAATCTTCCTTCATGCACCTCACTTCATACACATAATTTGTTGACTTGACCACCCTAAACTCTCTCTGCAAGGAAACTGCCCAATGCTTCACCGCCTCCTTCATCTCATCCTTATGAGCATACCTTGCACCCTCAATTACCTCGTTCTCCTTATACTCCCAGGGTACATGATCACCCTCTGATATAACAAGTCCAGAGAAGTCCTCATTTGCCCAATCAGTGGCCATTACATCACCTTCCTCATCGGATGATGCGTCGTCGTCCACTTCCTCATTATCCGAATCTTCCCTCTCCATTTCATCAACAATTATACCGACTCTCTCCCCCTCATCCGCCATGCCCATAGCCTGCTCCTCCCTTGGTTGATTTTCCTCATTTTGCATCGATGGTCCAACAACATCCCCTGCATTGATAGGACCCTCTACATCTTCGGTTTGCATTGAAACATTTATATCTTTCTCTTGTACCGACACAAATATAACGAGGGGCCATGACCGTTCAAAAGCCATTTCCACATACCGTCTCCAAGCATCAGTGCTGTCCATCGGCATTAGTTCCCAAAAATAACCTTCTGTTGCACGACTCACTACAACTGACACTGACATTGTGTAGACTTCTTGGTCTATTCTAAATCCTCTCAACAACCAACTATAAATTGACTGAAATGTTCTCTCCGCAGGCCTATCGATGCCCTTAGATGTCATTACAAAATCTGACAGATCAACACCATCTGGACCAAATCTAATATTTCCTTCACCGTGAACTATCTGAAATGTGACCTTACTTGACATTGTGCCTGATGAAAACAATAACTGCGTTAACCTCGCATTTCTGTACTACGCCCTAAGTTACATTCTCTACAATATTGTTCTCTAAATTTCTAAAATTACGTTACATTCTCCAGATCAAACTAAACTACATCTTACAATTAACACTACTGTCTATGTCTCAATTCATACTATTATATTCTATGCTCTGGATCTACACATATGTGCTGTGTGCTACAGATGTGCTAAAATATATGGAACTAAAACTAAAACGCAACATATATACTCAAACATAACATATTAGTACAAATGCAAAAGATGTATGGGAGCATACCTGTGATGAATTGAGCGAACCAGCAGGGCTTCGCCGCTCCCCTTCTGCTGCCCTCCCCTCTCTCTCTTTCGTTTTTTTTGGATTTTTAGTGAATATAATGAAATTTCACAGAGGAGGGACTGGGCTTTATAGGGGGGAGGCAAAAATCGCCCTCCCCCAGGGCGGCAAGGGGGCCGCCTGCAAAATTCCATGCCCCCTCGCCGCCCATTTGCAGGCGGCCCCCCCACAGTACAAAATCGCCCTAGCGGAGGGCGGCAAGGGGGCCGCCTGCAAAATTCCATGCCCCCCCTCGCCGCCCATTTGCAGGCGGCCCCCCCGCACAGTATAAAATCGCCCTAGCGGAGGGCGGCAAGGGGGCCGCCTGCAAATTTCGTTGACGGCCGTCGCCCGAGAGCGAACGGCCGTCTGCCACGTCATTTTCGCCGCCCTCTGAGAGGGCGATTTTTAAAAATCGCCCTCCCAGAGGGCGGTAGGCGACTACTTCCGTCAATTTTCAAAATGGAAAATTATTTTTGTAAAACTTTTAATAAAAAAAATTATAAATAAAAAAAATTCTCTGAATGTGATGATTGGTCAAAGACTCAAGACGAGACCTTATCGGCTCTGGACCGAAATGCAGTTAGAACTACTAATTGGGCTGTGTTCTTAAAATGGGCCGCCACACCAACCCGTCAGCTACTAAAGGCCCACAGAAGGCCCGAACAAGCCTCTCATTTGCTTAAACTGCTCAGACTGGGCCAAAAGTGGGTTGCTAATTCTAGTGCATGGCACGATCACATCTGATCCCCGAAAACAAAATATTTACGGCATTTTAGTTCGATTTTTATATACAGTAAATTTGATAAACATAGCTACATTATAATTATAATATAACTTTCACAAACCATTAGATTTGCTTTAAGATTCGTACAAGAAGAAAAGAAAAAAATTACACTGCACAAACGATGTGAAGGAATTCAGTCTCGAGATGTCTCCATCGTGAGAACAATGCGTTACCACAGGTTTTTTAAAGTTAGATATAAGTTATATAAGTTATAGTTATACGACAGTTACTACTTACTACAAATATAATCACACTACGATTCAATTATATTTACCTGACAAACATGTTACGGTTTTAGATCTGTTTCCGTTGGAAACTTGAACCTTCATGGACACTCACAACCAGAAATGCCCAATTGCCCATCCCCTGTCTTGACTCCTGGCCATCTTTCTCCTTGCTGATTTTGTATTCTCTACCGTTTTAATGCCCCATTTTGCAACGCATCGTTATTTAGAAGATTTCAGTGATAATTTCAGTTTTCATTTCTTAATTTTGGAATGGAACTAAGGAAGGAACAAACTAATCCTCAGCTCAACTTCCAAACACCCGGTGATAACCCAGCTTATTGTACTCCAGTTCTCAGACCAAACGTACTGTACGAATTTGGACAAGAAAAAGGAAAAGTTTAGAGGTAGAAACTGCACGAGGCCCACTTGTCAGTGACACAACCAATTGGTGTCTGACGTCAATTGGAGGCCCCTTCTCGTTCGCACCCCTCTCCTTGGAAGGAGACGCGCCCGCTGCGACTGCGAGAGCGAACCCCCAAAACCCTCGCCACCTCTGCGGGGCGCCGCGCGATCGCGAGCTCTCTCCCATTCCCTTCCCTCCCTCCCTCTCTCTCTCGCGCTCCACCCTAATGCCCCCCACGAGGCCCAAGCGGCGGCGCGGCGGCTCCGCGCGATCCCGCGGCCGGAAGAAGCAGAAGCGCCTCGACGCCATCCACGATGTCGCGCCGGTATCCGCCCCTCCCGCCGGAGCCGCCGTCGTCGTCGGCGGCGGCGGCGAGAGCGAGGATTCCGACGCGGAGGGCCCCCGACGGAGCACGCGGGTGCGCCGCGCGCCGGCCCTGCTCGACACCTCGCCGCTCCCCTCCCCGCGCCGTAAGAGGGCGCGCGGCGGCGGCGGCGGCGGGGTGGCCGGGTCGAGCGGCGGGAGCTCGCGGAGGAGAAGCAGAGGTAGGGCGAGGGGCGAGGCGGGGGTTGCCCGCGAGATTGGCGAGGAAGAGGAGGAGGAGGAAGACGACGAGGCGGGGAACGTGGTGTGGCGCTCTCGGCTGCGGGATAGGGTCAAGGGGAAGGCTAAGCTGGATAAGCGAGTTAGGAGCCTCTGGTTCGACGAGGACTACGAGGTGGAGCTGAAGGAGGAGGAGGAGGTGGTGGTGGAGGAGGAGGAGGAGGATGAGGAGGAGGGGGATGAGGAGGAGGAGGAGGAGCAGGTTAGGACATTGGTGGTGGACCTTCGGGAGGGAGCTGAGGAAGAGACAATGGGCGAGGGAAGTGGGAGCTTGCCAATGCGAGGGAGGGAAGTGATGGATAGGGAAATCAATCTAACCATCGATTTGAATGTGGAAGAACATGAGGCTGTCGAGGGTGTCAATGTGGTGGAAGAGGAAGATGGGGAAAAAGGAGGCGAAGCGGATGAGGAGAAAGGAGATGCGATTGGTCCTGGAAATGATCTACACGAAGGCAAGCATGAGGAGGTAGGGGACGAGGAGGGTTTACATGAGAAGGAGAGAACTGAAGAGCTGGGATCAGCAGTACTAGAAGGGCGAAATGGTGATGAGCTACCTTGCAATGAGAATAATGCTGAGGATGGCACTGGCAGTTCACATGAACACGAGCATCTTCTTGTGCAAAATGAGCAGACTGTGGAAGAGAGCAACCTTTGTGTTGAGCAGCAAATGGAACTGGATGGTTCTAGTCCTAGTGAGCAATTGAAAGAGGTTCAGCAGGATGTACAGACAGGTGGTGCCTCAAATGTAGTACTGCCCGAGGAGGCCCCAAAGGAAGGAGTCCGCAAATTTCCAGTTTCGGAAGAAAAACAGGGTACCATGGAGATTAAAGAAGGGAGACGTTGTGGGCTCTGTGGTGGAGGGACTGATGGAAGACCACCTAAGGTTGCATTACATGATACAGTTGACAGTGATAATGAAGCCTATGAGGGGGCTTTGCCTTCAGAGGATCCAAACTATGATATGTGGGACGGGTTCGGTGATGATCCTGGGTGGCTTGGAAGGTTATTGGGTCCAATACATGATCAGTTTGGCATTGCTCGTGTCTGGGTTCATCAGAATTGTGCAGTTTGGAGTCCTGAGGTATGCCCCACATTATTTTATAAAATTCTCACCCTCATACTATTCCTGTACCTTCTGCCTTATACTGGGTCATTGTCTCCTTGTGATTTTCATGACCATATTCTCTCAAAACAATATGCCCCCAATACATGTTTTGGGATTATCATTGGTTACTCCGGACTTTGGAAGCAAGCAAAACAAGCTAAATGTGTTGCAAGCAAAACAAACTAAATGCTTCAACATAGTGCATGCTTTGACCTTGTGGTTTGGATGTAATGGAATGGAGTTATGAAAAACTTGCTTTTGTCACATTTTCAGGTTTACTTTGCTGGTTTGGGCTGCCTAAAAAATGTAAGAGCAGCACTTTGCCGTGGAAGGCTTTTGAAGTGCAGCCGATGTGGCAGACCTGGTGCAACTATTGGGTGTCGAGTTGATCGATGTCCGAAAACCTACCATTTGGTAATTGGTTTTTACTTAAACCACATTTTACCATTCTAGTTTTGCCCTTTAGCCTTTAATATGCATTAACCTTTTCGATTTGTAGCCTTGTAGTCGAGCAGAAGCCTGTATATTTGATCACCGGATGTTTCTTATAGCCTGCAATGATCATCGACATTACTTCCAACCTCAAGGAGATAAATATGTTGAACTGCTCAGAAAAATGAAGATAAAAAAGATGAAGGCAGATATCAGAAAGGTGTCACATGATGCATGGAGAAAGGACATAGAGGCCGAGGAAAAATGGTTAGAGAACTGTGGAGAAGATGAGGAATTCTTGAAACGTGAGGGGAAGAGGCTAAACAGAGATCTTTCGAGAATTGCACCTGTTTACATAGGAGGCACTTCTGAAAATGAAAAGGCGTACTGTGGCTGGGAGTCTGTTGCTGGGCTCAGTAACGTTATTCAGAGCATGAAGGAAGTGGTGATACTGCCTCTTCTGTATCCTGAGTTTTTCAGTTCTTTAGGTCTTACACCTCCAAGAGGTGTTCTGCTGCATGGCCATCCTGGTACTGGTAAAACACTCGTAGTGCGTGCACTAATAGGGGCATGCTCTCAGGGGAACAGAAGGATTGCTTATTTTGCTCGAAAAGGTGCTGATTGTTTGGGAAAGTATGTTGGCGATGCTGAGAGACAACTAAGACTTCTGTTTCAGGTAGCTGAAAGATGTCAACCTTCGATCATATTTTTTGATGAGATAGATGGCTTAGCACCTTCTAGATCCAGACGACAAGACCAGACACACAATTCAGTTGTGGCGACTTTGCTTTCTTTGCTGGATGGTTTGAAATCACGGGGTTCAGTTATAGTAATCGGCGCAACAAATCGTCCTGATGCTATTGATCCTGCTCTTAGGAGGCCAGGAAGATTTGACCGTGAGATATACTTCCCGCTCCCCACCTTTGAGGATAGATCCGCTATTCTTTCATTACACACGAAAAAATGGCCAAGTCCTATTTCTGGGGCATTCCTCTCAGTTATTGCAAGCCAAACTGTTGGATATGCTGGTGCTGATCTGCAGTCAATTTGCACCCAAGCTGCAATAAATGCTTTGAAAAGGACTTGCCCATTGAAGGAAATCTTACTCTCTGCAGAGAAAGGATTTGAGCATGGGCGACTTCCTCTACCATCAATTCTTGTGGAGGAAAGGGATTGGCTTGCTGCTCTTGCAGCTGCTCCACCACCCTGTTCACAGAGAGAAGCAGGGATTGCTGCAAATGATCTAGTTTCCTCTCCTCTTGTCTCCTATCTTGTGCCGTGCCTTCTTAAACCATTGCTGCACCTTTTTATCTCCCTCTATTTGGATGAGCGAATCTGGTTACCTTCATCTCTTCTGAAGGCATTTGCTTCTATTAAGCAAGTTATCTTCTCATCTATGGAGAAGAATAATGTGCCTCACACATTTTGGTCTTCCTATCTCCCATCTTTGATACAACAGAAAGGTATTGCAAAAAGAATTGCATCAATCTTGTCAGGCTATGGTCTAATAGCTTATCAACTAGGAAACCATGATTCTGTGTTAAATCACAATGAACAGCACGAGAAGTTTGATGCCCACAGATTGAATTCCACCGGTTCTCACCCAAAAGGAGGTTTAGCACATAAATTATCAGGATTTAGAGCTTTAGCTGCTGGAGCGCCCAGATCAGGCCAACAACATCTGATCCGTTGCCTTCTTCATGGTTTTGTGGGTCATACTGTAATACACAAGCTTGATCTTGCAACTATGGCACAGGAGGGAAACGGTGATATTCTTAGTGGACTCACACAAATTCTTCGTAAGTTTCTTTATTTCTTTACCTCATAATTGTTCATCTAAAGGCATTGTCCACAAATATGTGATAATATTGTCTGTATGCATGGCTCTGAGGTTATATAAATGCATGCTTGCTCCAAAAGTTGTCTGCATAGAAGAATCAATGATAACTCTCTTCAAGCTTAAACCTGTTATTGCATGAGCATGCCTGTCATATTGATATATCATGGCACTACTGTTGCCTATCCACATTCCCCATTTCCCAATATCTGCAATTGCATGTAAGACATCTGACATTTCTTGCTTTGACTTCTTCGTTCTCTATTTATACTCCCATTCAACGCCATATATCTGTAGCTGCCATTCCTGTTCATATTTATTATCTTTTTTGACAGGAAGTCCTGTTCCTATTTATTGGTTCAAATACATCATGTTGTTTTTTTTTCCTAAAAAATATTGTGCACAAAACTTCCATATCGAATCATCATTTCTTTGTTCTCCTTTTGTTTTATCTTTTCAACACTTTCATACATGGTCTTAAATGGTTAATTAAACATTAGGAGCTTTTCTGGATCTAACATTTGATAAATTTTTCAAGAGTCTATTTAAACAAACTATGTAATATGTCATAGCTATCATCTTCAGATATACCACAATACTGATGAGAGTGTCTTCTTATTCGATATGGGGAACCAGCCATTCACAACCTGAACTGATTTTGGACAAGCAGTACCTACTCAGTTCAAAAGGGAATGCTATTTAACCAAGAACAGTAATTAGTTCAAGTCAGTTATATCTTCAAGTTGGATCTTTCTGTTGACTCAAAGTTGATCTTTGAGGGTGTTTGGTTGGTTCCTCGTGAGGTATATACCTCAACATCGCAATACATCCTAAGTACGAGTTCATCGCGATTTAGAAAATGATTTAAATTTATTTCTAACTATCCATTTTCACTACACTTTAAGTTAGTTGAGTCAAACTGGAGTTTTGGCATTCAAAGTTGAATTTGTTTCCATTGAGCTGTATATTTTCAAATTATATCGTTAAAGACAAATTTGCATATGATCTGAAGATTCCTGCACCATGCTAAATTGTTTATATTTTTGGAAGCCATTTCCCGATAATGATTCAATTGCAATCAATATAGTGGAGATGCATTGTTTGAAGATCAGGCAATAAATTATGCTGAGTTGGTGATACAATGATTGAAGATCATGCAAGAAATTAAACTGAGTACTTTTAATTATAACAGAATTATGCTATGGCCCAATTCCACTTTAAGCTGAAGTGAAATGATATAGTAGTTACTTATGTATTACCCTATTAGCATTCTTCATTTCTTTCCAGTGAAATGGGCAAATAATCATGTATTTTACTTTCGCTTGACCAGTAAAATGCCTTAATCTTGGAAGATGTATAATCTATATGCCTAGAATTGATTTGTGGGCCATCGACAAGTTCCATGAACAAGAAGCAGAAGATCATGTGCTCAATGTGGGAACAAGCAAGTTAGGGTCCACAGCAACAAAAAATATTAAAAAATGTTCTGAAGTATGGAATTCGTTGGTTGATCAGATGGGTTCATTGTTAGCTTCTGTATCCATCAGTGTTCTGGTAAATTTCTTTTCTTTTCATATGCTTCTTCAATTCCTTTTTGTTTGAAAATTTTGGGTATGTATGCATATCCATACTGTCCTTTTACTCACAATGTTTACAGCTGAATTGTGCATTGCATTTATGACTAATATATTGAGATTTTAGTAGGTTCATGAGCGTAAATGACTAGCATTAGCTGAAAATATAGGTATTGACATTTTTATTCAGGCATATAATCACCTAATTTGTACTCTATCCCTCCAAATATGTATAATAATCTAAACGAATAATAATTTTTGAAATAATGTTCTGTCCTTAGAAAAACAAATTTAATGAACTGAAATGCTGCTCAAGTGTTAATAATAATAATAATAATTTAATACATAGTCATAGGAGATAATCAGTTGACAGCTATTATCTTAATCAGTACACAAGTTACTTCTCTGGGTTTCCATTTTCAAATAAAAGAAAGGGCGAAAAGGAAGCTGGAATATATGGCCCATATACCAGGGGATAATTTAAGAGGCAGTGCAAGGAAACCAAGTATAATATAAAACTAAGGGCTCATTTGACTTCTTGAATAGTGATATGCTCTGTTCTACTTCTTGTTGCAGAATGTAGTTAAGAAAATCTTTGCGTTTCTAGTAGAAAATGTATTGCTAAGAAGCGGCCAGGCTTCAGTTAACATATAAAAAGTGTAGGACAATTGCTTAACAAGCATTACACTTGCAAACTGCTTAACTGTTCATTTATTCTGGATTACCCCTGTGCAAATGACGAGTAGTTTGACCCCATTTGTTGCTGTGTGAATTTTCATATTATGATCATCTGGAACACCGTGAATGTTGGATTACTGCTATTGGCCATTACCCCTGATTTTCTGATGATAAACCCTGATTTACTTGGACTTAAGATCTAATGATATATACTTATGGAACACTTCTGGATATTTACATCCAAATTGCACATTTAGCTGATAATTTGTTTTTCAGTCCACCAGTGAACTGAAGTTTCAAGATCTCCCTAGTGGAGTAAGACATTTCTTCAGCACACATGTTGTAGATCAATGTCTTGCTTCTTCAGAACACACAATACCAAGGTTCTCTGTGAATGTTGACAGCTACTTTACCTGGGATGAGGTTATTGACGCATGCTGTTTGCGGATATCACATGATTTAGTTCAGCAGCATGTTCAACTTTTGCATGACAGGGCTCATAACAATCATGATGAACAGAAAGAGGTCTTTGTTCCTATGGAAATTAGTGCACCAGGTGAACATAGATCCAGTGGGAGTAAGGAAGCCAGCATGTTAACGAAGTATCCATTGAACATGGACAAGCATCCCTCATGTGGGGTTTCTTCAAGAGAGCATCCTACTCAGCTGGGCACATGTAGTGCTCAGCAAGAGCCACCAACATCTAATGTTGAAGATAAAGAGGACAATACTGAGAAAATTGATTTCAATGAGAAAGTCGCAACAAATCGTTCTAATAGAATTGTGAAGGACAGTGAATCACTAGCTATTATGGCCTTTGGAATTCAGATACTACAGCACCCGCAATTTTCTAAACTTTGTTGGGTTACATCGAAACTACGAGAGGGCCCCTGCACTGATATAAATGGACCATGGAAAGGCTGGCCATTTAATTCCTGTTTATTGCAAAGCACTACAGCTGATAAATCATTATCTGGAGGAAACAATGTTCTTAAGGGCAAAGAGAAGATTCCGTCTGTCAGAGGACTTGTTGCTGTTGGTCTATTAGCATATAGAGGTGCTTATGCATCTGTTTTGGAAATCTGTTCTGAGGTGAGAAAGGTCTTGGAACTGTTAGTTGGACAGGTCCGAACTAAAATTTTGGAAAAGAGAAGTCGATATCGGTACTTCCATATTCTGTCCCAAGTTGCTTATCTGGATGATATCATGAGCAGCTGGGCATACACCTTTCAAAGGTAAGCAATGGGCTGTATATTTGTGTTTGTTTGTATTGGTTGTCACATTATTGATTCTTTTTGAAGTTAGTAAACTAGTAAAGTATACTTCTGGCAGTCAGCAAAAAATATTGGTACTTCATACTGCTGTTTTCTGACAAAATTGTCCTGATATTTAACTTTTATATTTGTCTACAGGTTACATAGTGAAAACAGGAGAGTAAAAACAAGTCCAAAGGTAACTGTTGGAAAGTCATCCACAAGAGAATGTCAAGGCGACAGCAACACTGCAGAAGCAAACATACTTGGTGCTCCTGCTGGCTGCTCTGAGGCCCAAGGCACTCCTGGCCAACATACAGATGACCTTGAAGTTATTCCTGCTCACTGCCCTAGTGAGATGCAAGAGAATTCAGTCCAACATGCTCCAGGCCATCTTGAAATCCATGGCATTGTCTGCGACCTTGACAATGATAATGTGACATCTATATCCAGCATAAATGCAGTGGAACCTGATCTTATCCATTCAGCTTCACTTGATGTGCACACAGATTCACTTACCCCAGCAGATGCAGTAATAAATGATGGGCAATCTTGTGGGGTTGACAATGATGGGCAAATGTCCAGAGTAATCAATGGAGAAGAAAACCACATATCTAATATTGAAAGACCTGAAAGCCACACAGTATCTGTTGCGGATTTCAATGAGTTGCAAAGGAAAAATGCTGTTGCATCCTCAACTAGTACCGACAGTGCAGGAACATCCAGGAACATGGTGTCTTCTGAAGCTCGTGGAAGTGACAATGAGCGGAATACTGATTTCCCTGTGGATGATGTCAAATTAGGTCATTTGGTTAATCCTCAATCACAGGATACCATGAAAAGTCTCTCAGTTCTGAAACCTCCATGTCTCTACAAATGTTGCCCTGTGTGTTTCAATGCTGTTTATAAGATGGTTCATGATATTCTTTCAAATTCAGTAAGGCCTAGTCTGCATTGCTTAGCAGTCGATGATATGCATGACCTTTTGTCATCATGGTCAGTGAATCTTCTAGCAACAGTTAGAAAATGGTATACTTCTCAAGGTATTGTTGGCTCTGAAGAAAATTCTGGAGAAGGGCATTGTGTTTGTAGCAGTGATAATGGTTGTGTTCCAAGGGAGTGCACATGCCATTTGGAAAGCAACGAAGATGCTGGAACTATAAAGGATGAGAGCTATTATCTAAGTGGACAGCCATTAAGTTTTTTCTTTAAAGATGGTGTATTGATACCACCAGATATCACTGCACCAACTACACTTCATTGCAGTTATATGAGATTATGTGTTTGCTCGATACCAGGTTCAATTTCTATGTTCAATCGGATCTCGAGTTGATGTGATTGTGTGATGCAAGGTACTTCAATGCTAAGGATACCACAGTTCTGATCTTTTTCCTGTGCTGGCCTATCTTCAGTGTTTACCAGGTCTTGTGCACTCTCATGGGATTTTGCTTGTTTCCCCAGTGGTAGCAGCTAGTTCATTGCAATTACACCTCCTCCCTTGATGCAACTCCCAAGCTAGCCTTCTGCAAATAAATTGCCTTTATTGGTTATGTTCAGCAGTGGAGTGCTGGGTTATATAGTTTTTGGGAAACCTGGATCGACTGAAAAGAAACAATGCTATTGATTTTGTGTCTGTTAAGTGGTTCCGTTGTATACGCAGTCTACTGTTACTGATATTGGAATCTTTAAACTAGCTGATCCGTGATGCTTTCTCAAATCTCATTGTATTATGTATTATAGCTCAATTAAATCACTGAGTTGATCAGTTGAAACAAGATTGACAAGTACCTACAGTGTCCAAGTTGTACCTTCAGACTGGTTACTGGTATGCTTTCCGACGAGCTACTAACATTTAACTGCGTTCTTATGTACATTTGAGCACACTGTTACTTAGAAATGCTTAAGAAATTTTGACTTTGGTACTTCTTAGAATATAATCATGTACATATTTCTAAAGAAGGCAATTGTTTGACGATAAAATTAATGTCCAACAAAGTATTTACTGATTTTGTGTTATTGGCATGGAACTTCATTATATGGATAAATCAGTGAACTACTCATGTGAACTTCATTGAAGCTTTAGTGGATTATTAAGTTCATGTACAAATTTGCTTCAGTAGGCATCTTGAACTCTTGTTTCTTTGGTCTTTGCACTGAATCATAAATTGAGTGAGGGCTGATGGATGGGTTTGTTTGTATATTAGACCAAGTGGCCTTACTATGCCCAGTTCCCTGAAGTAGCCATGCCATGGCTTGGCTTATCCAGTTTGATACATTTTGCCATGGTGGTGGTTTATTGCTCTTTTAGCAAAGCAGTTGTGCTGGCTATTCTTTGTTGGACAAGTTTAGTTTGAAGGCAGGCATATGTTCTATTTGTATGTGGCTTGCCATTTTCATAATTTTGTCAGCAGAACTGGGACAAACTTATTATTGTAAAAGGGAAGATTATTATTTGAACAATCTGTATATGATGAACTGATTCCCGTTACTGGTATAAACTACAAAGACATGAACTGTAACAAAACTGGTGAAGATTATTAATATTTTGTGTCTGTAAACAGGGAAAAGCCCACCATTTTCCAGTTTGTCAGAAACTGGTTGCATTGTATTTTTAGATTAATTGAAAATTTACATTCTGATGAAACATAGATTAAGATTGGGCGACATGAGAATTTGTCTGTGATTGAGCCATCGAGGTGACCAAGAACCATCAATAATTCAAATACTATTCTTGGGATTCTGAATCTTGGTTATAAACTATAGGCAACCGTTTTTCCCCCCTGATGTTTGTGTACAACCTGACTGTTTTGGTTGGGTCCGACTGAGAAGCTGTTTGGACCAGACAACAGCAAATCCCAACTAAGTTCATACCATTTGTGTTACTGTTACCTGTGCTGCTGGCTATCAGGGAGAAATGCACAGACAATTCCCTTTACTTTGTTATTGTTTCTTACCATGAACCTCTTGTGTCATCTATCGTTTACTTTGTTAGACTTGTTCTAATTGGTTCGATCTGCCACAGGGAGTGGCTCTCCCACAATAAAGTTTTGACCCTAACATGTATTGAGATGCCCAAGTCTATGGTGTTCTCTAATGCAACATACTAGCTAAGAAATTTCAACACTTTCAGCAGGAGCTTTGTAACTTTCTTTATGCCTTGCAGAGCATTATACTGGCAGGCTGTGTTGAATGAACTATGTAATTTGAAACTTGTCATACCAGCCAGTGATGCTGTTATCAAAGGGTGTGGCGATGGTTTATTGTACTCTCAAAACTTATTCTGAAACAAACTATTGTCTCTGATGGTCCCATGTTATGAAATATTGTTTCTTCCAGCCTGTTCTCAATCAGATTGTCTCATACCTGTATATACTGGTGGTTGTATTGCACTGGTCAGTGAGTATGGAATGCTTATAGTAAGAAAGCTCATGCTGCAGCATGATAGTTCAAGTCAAGTGACCTTTGCATGGTAGTCCTGGTTAGAACAATCATTGGTTTATTTTTGAAGAGGAGAAGTTGAGAGAAGGAATGTGAAAACATTACATGAGATGTTAGGAAGATGCAGGTTTGTAAAGATATGGTTAATGGCTTTATGTGTCAATTTTTAGTCTTTGGAAGATCTTGCTGATTTTTCAAGCCACAGAAGGTTGGAAGGATACTTTTGCACTTTGCTGTCAAGCTAGACAAAATATGCCATGAAGAAGAGTACTAAACACAAGTAATATTTTTGCCTCTCCAGTTCAGTTTTTTATTACGTTATTTGTAATGACTTTATAATTCAATTCTTATTTTGCAAATACATACACAGTTGCTTATATGTAGGAACAATTCATAAAATGACATAGCTGGTGTAGTAGTACAATAAGTTTCACCAGTGCCATTCCATGTCAATTAGTATATGCTAAATTAGATTTATAAATTTATTACACTGAATTTTACTTTGATTTCTCGAAGTTTATTTTGCTCAAATATTATGTCAGGTGCACATATTTATTCAAATCTTAGCATCTACTCCCTTTGTCCCAAAATATAGGAAGTTTTGGTTGAATGGGACACATCCTATTACTACGAATTTGGACAGACAACATGTCTAGATTCGTAGTACTAGGATGTGTCCCATCCAACCAAAACTCCTTATATTTTGGGACGGAGGGAGTAGCTAATAGGGAAGCGATAAAAATAATTTTGATTTTGACCTTGAGTAGAGGCACTTCCAACATATCTCAATTGTGCCTGTTGGTGTCTTGCGGTGGAATATTAGGAAGCACTATTCAATGATTGCACAAGTAAATGCATAATACAAAGCACTATTTACAACACACTTTTGTGTAGTAATTTTTAAAACATAAACTAGACTTCCATATGCCAGTTGTTGACTAATGTACAGCAAATTTGGTGACTTAAATAAAGTTTGATGATATTGTTCTCCTGTTTGTCAAAATTCACTAAAATTTTCATGAGATTGTTATGTGGCTTATGGTTTATCAAACTAGAAGACAAATATAATGTTGCTATACTGTATATCCATGTCTGGAAGTTTAAGTTACATAACCTTTTCTTTTCTTTTACAAATAGTCAATAAACAAAAAATTCTTATACAACCTCAGAAAACCCAGAGAATTTAGACAAAATAGCGCAAAGGACATACTTTGTACCACACAAACATGAAATGAATTTTTATAGCCATGTAGTTAATCTCCCATACCAGCTAGGCTGCATCTGAAAATGCCAAGTACACACAAAATATGCAAGGCAGAAAATGAAAAGAATATATCTAACATTTCTATTTCATGTTGTAAGGCACACATGATACAGAATGACATATTTGCATTTTGGTACTGTTTTTTCTTCTAAGAATAGCGTGGGACCTATGGGCAGGGGACTAAGCCTTTGCTCGCTTTATTTATATATATATATATATATATATATATATATTCTGATTACAAGTGGTCAAAAGTATGCTGGGTGATAATCTTCATCGTCGTATACCATGAGATCTTTTACGATTTGATCCATTGTTGGCCTCTTGCTTCTTTCCTCAAGACATGAAATAGCTGCTTTCACCATCGCTTTTGCTTGATCACAATTGAAATGGCCTTTCAGCCTACTGTCTACTATAGTGTCCAGGACCTCACCACTAGTGAGCATCTGTTTTACCACCTGCACGAATTGCATCAAGTCTATGTTTTCTTCTTCTATTGTTATCCCACTTGAAACTCTAGTCCCAGTCACAATCTCCAGAAGCACAACCCCATAGCTGTAAACATCGACCTTTGCATTGATTGGCAAATTCAGTGCCCATTCTGGTGCCATGTAGCCCATTGTGCCTCTCATATGAGTGAAGTTAAAGGTAGAACTGTCTCTCTTTGAAAGTTTGGATAGCCCAAAGTCTGCTATCTTGGCTTCAAAATCTCGGTTCAGCAGTATGTTTTCTGGCTTAACATCACAATGAACAACCCATTCAAGGCATTCATGATGGAGGTAGGCAAGGCCTCTAGTTGTTCCTAAGGCAATCTTGAACCGTTGGCTCCATGAGAGCAAATTTCTGGTGCCACTGTCATCAAAAAGGTACCTATCCAATGACTCATTTTCCACATACTCGTAGACTAATAACCTCTGACGACCCTCTGAGCAGAATCCCCACATTCTGACCAAATTTATGTGATTGATCCTCCCAATTAACGTCACTTCTGCCCAAAATTCCTCTTCACCCTGTCTAACATCTGTAAGTTTCTTTACTGCAACCACCTTCTTATCCCCAAGTATTCCTCTGTAAACTGTACCACTGCCACCTTTTCCAAGCTCTTCTTTAAATTTTCCCGTTGCTTCCACCAATTCGCGGTATGTAAACCTCCTGAACTGGCTTGTTATCATTTTGTAACCTTTCTCCATGGACTTGGGTATGTTATGCATTTTAAAAAGAAAGTACCACCCTGTCATGATAAAGACCAACTCAACTGCTCCTATTATAGTAGCAAAAACATATAAGTATGCCCACATTATGTTGTCAGAATTTTTTCTGTATGCATCTATGGATACTAACATAACTTTTGAAGCATTTGGCTTGCAGGTAAGACCATGATGTTTGGAGATCAAGGATGTTGAAGCAACGTTCTTAGGAAGTTTGATGTAGTTGTCTCCAGGAAAATATGGATAAACCTGGCCATTGTAGAGCAGGCCTTTAGTGTAACATAGACCATCTCCACCTTTGTAGGTAAAAGATAAGCACACGCAGCTGTCCATACAAATCCTCATGCATTCTTCAAGCGAGATTGACTTGTTTGAAGTCAGATCAAAGCCATAATAGTCACCATGAGGAATCTTGACGAACGTAAAATCCTCGCGTTGCTGGCCACAGCTGACGCTGAATGTTGGCCTGCAGCCTCTACTCCAGTTCTCGGGATCAGTCATCTCGTATCCTGGAGGACAAGTACATCTGAGACCTGGTGAGTACTCACAAATTCCATTTCTTCCACACAATCCATGCACATAGCACATCTGCAATACACCTTCCCCTGTGATAGTCCAGTTGCCATCTGATGCATTCAAGCTGTACATTCTGAGGTTGCCATCATAATCAATTGTGATCCTTCTCTGTATCCCTAAACCTGAATCCAGGGCTACCATTTTGAACCCGTCGCTTGACAAGAACCTGCCCTCGTCGTCCAGGACCGCTATCTTGCTGCTGTTGAATCTAGTCCGGCCGTTCTGCACTGCGGTGTAGTCTGGACTTGGCCAGTATATGCTTGTGATTTCTGGTCCATTGTACTGGAGCCGGAGGACATTATCGTTGTCGAAATACAGGAAATGGTTACCAGATTGGGAGACTAACCTCTTCTCTCTTGTGAGACGCTGCGATGGTAGCAGGGTGTCAGTAGGCCAGTCGAAGCTCTGCCACACGATCTTATCCTCGGAGTCGGATGCCTTCATTACCATATTGCCACTGTTGAGCAGAGCCACCGTGGTGTGCTTGCCCCAGCCAGTCTTGCTCTCCCAGACCGTGGTGCCATTGACATCGGTAAAAGCCAGGTTGCCCTCATGGCTCAGGGATATCTTGGAGCCATGGCCGTTCACCGGAAGGCCAGAGTCTGCGGTCCAGACCACCGTCCTGTCGGTGGCATGGGTGAACCAGATGGAGAAGTAGAAGGCGTTTGTGTCATCTCCAGATGGGTAGAAGCCGCAGGAGAAGGTTGTGTCTGGTGAAACAAGGAAGGTTTCTCCATGATCTACCTGGAGAGATGTACCTGTGCCTGTGGTTTGCCATGGGGATGCAGATGCGGCGCAGCACAAAAGAACGGAGATGAAGGAAATGAAGAGTGGGCACAGGAACTTACCCATCTGGATTTTTGGTTGTTGGGGGGTGACGAGTGGAAAGGATATTGGCTTCTTTGTGTGTGCGCAGGCTGTGCCCTGTGGCCTGTGGGACACTGATTCTTGTCAATCTTGTGACCATATCTCTTGAGATATCAGATACCCATATGCGTTAACTGTAGGACGAGATGCCACATTGCCACTGGATGGTGACTGGTGACTGGTGAGTTTGGCTGGCTTATTTTCATCTGCAGCGAGTGTTACTTTACTCGCGTGATCTTGTTCATTGGATTGGATCACCGAGAATCTGACGTGTGCTTTTTTTTTTTTGGTTCCTGTGTACCCTCTCCAGCTCTCCTTTGCCTGGGAGAGGTTGAGATTCTCAGCACACATCACATTCGTTCTTTGTTCCACCGAAAGATAACATGGAAACTGTGGCTGTGTTCTTTGGTTAGAGCAAGTATAATAGTAGGTTATAAGCCGGCTAAATGTTGAGGTGGAGGAGAGAAGAAAAGAGAAGCGGGTTGTAAACTTACAGCCGGTTTGGATATAAAAACCAGAAACTCTGTGAGAGAGACAAGTGAACCCTGTATTAATTGTAAAGATCTAACTATTATATGGGTAGGCTGAGAGAAGACTACAAAGAACTTTAGAGCAGGTACAATAGTAGGCTATAAGCCAGCTATAAACATAATTTAAAGAAATAAAGGAAGAGAGAGAAGAGTAGCGGGCTACAGATCTGTAGCCAGCTGCAGCACGGACTCCAAAACGTAACGTGTGTATGACATGTGAGACTAGGTATTAATAGTATAGTAAGCAACTATTTGTATGAATTGGCTATTACATTGGCTCTAGATGATTTGGAGCAGTAGTTGGCTATACTATTAAACTTGCTCTTATAGCCAACAGATCGGCTGTATTATTAGCCTTGCTCTTACAGTTACTAACTCACCTCATTCGTTATTCGCGTGCACGTTTTCTAAACGGCTAAACTGTCTTTTTTTTTAAAAAAAATTCTATATAAAAGTTGCTTAAAAATCATATTAATCTATTTTTTTAAAAAATATAGCTAATATTCAATTAATTATGTGTTAATAAGCTACTTCGTTTTACATATGTGAGGGGATACCATGAGGAAAGAGTTATCTCCTAGTGTTGTATATATTGGAAAACTGTAATTTTGTTTTGTGGACCAACCGACTATATTTCTTCTCAATATATTTGTCAACAACATAGACGAAGTTTTTGTCCATCCATGTAATTATGAACGGCCAGAACGGATCAACAGGCTAAATACAGAGTACTTCATTTGTTCTAAAATAAGTTAATTTTAGGTTCTACTTTTTATCCTAAATAAGTTTACTTTTTAATCTATCTGTCAAAAGATGAGTTTTATTCCTTCAATAAGCATACCCACCCATCAATATTTGTCGAAAGATGAGTTTTATTTCTTTGATACACATACTCACCCATTAATATTTCCTTTTCGATTGATGAAGAACATTTTTATTTTTTTTCACTTCATTTTAATTTGTGTTTCAATAGCTAAATGATTTTGCTATTCCTCTGTCGCGTGATTTTTTCTTACGCCTCACTCGCTTTTGTGGTCGTTAGATGCTTAGCTGTTCTGTTAATCCCTAGAGCCATACTATTTTTTATTTACCATATTTTTATATTTATTCTAAATGAGTTAACTATCGTGTCGGTATACGAGTACTTATGAATTTTTATAGTGTTGTTTTTATAGCGAATTCTTAAAAATTACATTGTAATTTTTTAAACTTACAGTGTAATTTCTTTGTAATTTTTAAATTTACTGTGTAACTTTTGAATTCTAAATTAGATTCAGTCTTCTATTTAATTAGGATATGCTAAACAGTGTCGCTTAGATAATTTGTGTTGCCAATTGGCCTGAATACTCAAGTGTTCCCTAGCCCAACAATCTTCCGTGGATGCATCGGTGCACTGCAGGCCTGCCACGTAAGAAATAAAAACCGAGATATAATTTAGAAAATGTGTCGAATCATCATGTCCCTTATTTTGTTTTTTATCCTACGGCTATGTGAGACCTAAGAAAAAAAAATCTGTCGAAAGATATCTAACTAGTCCCATAGCTAAAAGATAAACTTATTCTGAAACAGTAGTTGTTGGCCATTTATAAATGCCCCCCATGTGATCAATCTGAACCGAAGGCTTTGGGGCTTGGACCTTTGTTTTGAGATCGAGTTTAACCGGCAAAGCCCAAATGAGTCTCGCGAGTCGCGCGAGTCATGAGACTCACCTAACCTATCACCTATGGCATCTCGTCATTCTTTTATCCCGTCGTACGGCTTTGTTCATATGTGGTGGTCTGGTGGACCGTCTCTAAAGTTCATGCTCTTCAGATTGGTGGGTAAATTGAACAGGAACGTTTCATCTGAAGGAATCAGACCCAACCCTTACATAGCCTGTGTTTAGATTTTTTTTTCTAAAAACATCACATTGCACAGTTTGCATGTAAATTGCGAGATAAATCTTTTTAGCCTAATTATGCCATGATTTAACAATGTGATGCTACAGTAAACATTTGCTAATGACGGATTAATTAGACTTAATAAATTCGTCTCGCAGTTTACAAGCGAAATCTGTAATTTGTTTTGTTATTAGACTATATTTAATACTTCAAATGTGTGTCTGTATACTTCAAAAAATATTTTGGCCAAGGTACTAAACACATCCGTAGTACTCAAAATAATAAGGCTGTGTTTGGAACTCTAGGTTCCCAACCCCTCTATCTCGTATTCCACGCTCACACTTTTCAAACTGCTAAACATCCTAAAATATAGCAACCTAAGATGGGATGAGACCCATCAGCATGTCCAGATTCATAGTCCTAGGATGGGACCCATTCTAGGTTGCTATATTTTAGGACGGAGAGAGTAGTACTTAATTAATCACACGCTAATGAATCGCTCCGTTTTCCGTGCACACCGTGCGTGTTGGGAACATATGCTTCCGAACACAGCCTAGTCCTAAATATGTCGTTCTGCACTGGCATTGTTGGATATGACTGTAAGGCGTCTTCCTCTATTTCCGCCTCAGTCTAAGCCTGGTTAGGATCTGATATATGCCAAAAAAAAGTCACACTTTGTTTAGACTTATAAACCAGCTTATGGGGTAAAAAGTCTGAGGGTCTGTTTGGCACAGTTCCATCTCCACCCCTCCTGTGGCAGGAGCTCAATCAAAAAGTTTCAAGCTTTCAGCTCCACCTAAAGTGGGAGTGGAGCTGGGTGGAGCTCTCTCACAAAATGAACTAGAGAAGTGGAGCTGGATTCAAGCAGCTCCACAACTCCACTCCATACTCAACTCTTGGAGTTAAAATTAGAAGTTGAATCTCTACCAAATGGGAGCCTGGCCTGTTTGGCACAACTCCAGCTCCAACTCCACCTCTAGAGGTGGAGTTCAGCCAAACAGTTTCAGTTCCACCTAAAATGGGAGTGGAGCTGGGTGGAGCTCTCTCACAACTCCTGGAGTGGAGTTGTGGAGCTGCCTAAACCCAGCTCCATAACTCTAGTTCATTTTGTGAGAGAGCTCCACCCAGCTCCACTCCCAGTTTTGGTGGAGCTGAAACTGTTTGGCTGTGCCAAACATGCCCTAAACATGCAGCTAATCTTATACACTATTAAGTCAAAAACTAAGTTGAAGAAATCTTTTTGGCTTATATGAGGTACATAAATGATGGAACTCTGTCATTAAAGTTAGGATTTCATATCCATTAGCTTATAAATCATATAAGAAAAAAACTAACTTAAAAGTCTATGAAAATAAACTCAATCAATAGCCATGTGAGAGGAGAGAGGAAAGATAAATTATTTTTATTTTTTTCATAAAGGTATATCTTATGCATAACATAAAGGCAAATTTTGCTACAGGACACCCAAAATTTGTGTAATTTGCTGATAGACATCGAAAAAACATGTCATGGCTGAAAGACATTCTAAAAAAACTGGTAATTTGCTGTAGGACACTTTTGGCTCAATTGAAGGGATGGATTCCAAAAAAAAGACGAGAATGCCCCTCTGGCCACATGCTTCAAACATGGTGTTAGAGTAAAAATTAAGAATTTTTCCAACTCTAAATTTTCCATAGCCCAAAGTATATCACTAGCATACACCATATTTCATTTTCACTCTAGTATCGGCTCAAAAAGCTTTTGACCCTAGGGTCATTCTTGTCTTTTTGAAAAATTTCTCTCTCTGATTGAGCCGGAAGTGTCCTCTAGCAAATTACCATTTTTTTAGAGTGTCTTTCTGATGAACCCTGAGTTCCTCTCGACACTCAAGGCAGTTGTTTGGCCCGATCTTTCGGTGAGTTGATGATAACTACGATTTGTGGAAAAGACGTTGACGACCCGATTACAACCGTACAAGACGTTGCGTTGCGCCTTAGCGATCGATACACCTCTCCGTGGGTTGTTGATCTTGCCGGTGCAGATCAACCTTATTCCTGCAAGCAATCGAGAACAAGCAAGAACAAGATATAAAGCAACTGAATTGCTAGATAGACAAGACTTACAAAGATAAATTGATACACGATAAAGTGGGGTTCCGAACAAGCAGACGGACGGTCTAGCCGACACGCGCGCTGCAAGCGAAGTAGCAATGGCTAAACTTACAATTAATCAAAACCCGAGAAACCCTGAAGGGGTAACTAGCTATATATAGGGGTGGGAGCACGACCTAGGGGTGCCTAGGTCATGCTCCACCAGCTTGGGGCGCACCCCACATGGGCCCCACCTGGGCCGGGGTCCCAAATGAAGTTACAAGCCCATAGGCCCATTATAGGTGACGCAGCACCTTGTTCCTGTGATTCCGGCCACACGAGATGGAATTCAGAGAAGAGGCTGGATCCGTTGGAAAGAGGGCTCCGAGAGCTTTCCATCAAGTACTCACAGGCCGAAAACGGAGGTCGTATGCAGATTCGGTGGCCGTTTGAAGTCAGCAGTGTAGTAGGTGGCCGAATCGGATTCTAGCACTTGGAGGACTTGATCTTGATATCTTCTTGTTCATCCATGATGTGAGCAATGGTTGCATCCGTGGTAGCCATGGTCACATCATCTCTTTCAGCCATAACACGTTTTCAAGATGTCTATCAGCAAATTACACAAATTTTCGGTGTCCTGTAGCAAATTTTGCCTAACATAAAAAGTGTTATATTGATCACTTTCACAATGTTAAGGCATGCTATATAGACCAATAATAACCAATTTTTCTATATATTTAATCGTGGTGTATTACGTGTTTACTTCTACCTTAAAATATGCCTAAATATTTTTTATTTACCTTATAACAAAGGGACTACCACAACGATATTACGTTTTCCAAGTTGAAATACGCTTATATATTTTTGTCAAAAAAATAAATACATCTATATTTCATTTTGATTTGTATTTAACTTCTGACTACTCTCTCTGTCAAAAATAAAAGATTTTGGTTGGATAAGACATTGCTAATATTATGGGCATATTCAGATTGTAGCCAAAATTTTGGCAGGATTTCTTATGTATTGATCAAATTTGGTAACAAACTAAAGACATTCTTTTGACAATTTTACTTAGAAAAATAATATGGTTGAAAATGACATCAAAGTGAACATGCCCTACGAATCATATAGCGAGGAACGGAAGACTACGACCTGTTGTGTCAGTTCTCAGTTGTGATCACCACATGAACAGGCCCACGTGAATGGCCCATAGAACGGCGGTCCACTTCTACTCCGGCGAGCCACCTCCCTCGAACTACTAGTCCTTTCGCCTTCCTCGTCGTGTCCACTCCCCACGCACGCACGCGGCGGCGGCGAGCCGCCACCCCCCCTCCCGTCGGCTTTCCGATCTCCGGGAACGTCGCGACGGCGGCGCCAATGCGTATGCTATGCCGCGCGCGCTGGTTCTCTCCCTCCCCCCCTCTGCCGCCGCAGGCGTCATCATTGCCCTCATGTCAGGTGCCGGCAGTGGGGACTGGGGAGGCTGTTGCCCTTGCAGGGGCGAGAAACGAGGTAAAGCTGTTCATCTTCCCTGCTGGTTAAGTCGCATCCATGTCGTGTTCACCACTTGGCATCGCGCTCTCCTTCAAGCTTCCAGTGTGCCTTGAGCGACGCAGAAGCCATGGGCTCAAGCAGAATTGTTCGGTGCAATGCAACTTATCCGGTGGCCATCACGCCTAGAAGAGATCTGCCCTTCGCAATCCATTACAAGGTGCGTATTTCTGAGGTGAGGGCATGGTTTCCTTGTAAACTATGCACGCTGCAGATAATTTTATTTTGCTCTGCATATATTGAATTAATATGGAGTAGTTTCTGGTTATTTGGGTGGGGTTATGGATTCGATGCTTGTGAAAATGACGGTTAAAGTTTGTAGGCTTGTAGAGATAATTGAGAGAAAACGAACAAACCAATCAATTCTGGAATAGCCCTGCATACTATTCATTCACTCATTTCATCTACAGAACAAAACTTGTTACATTATGCAATATAATCATTCCAATGTCATAAACAATAAGCCCTTGTCACCATATCTAGCTATGCCTATAATTACATCATCTAGGATATCCTATTACGTACACATCTCAAAATTTATGCAGTAGCTGCAGGCTAATATGAATAGGCAGGATGGTAGTCGTCTTCGTCATCACATAACATGAGAGCCTTCAGAATTTCATCCATTGTTGGCCTCTTGCTTCTTTCTTCCAGGCATGAAAGAGCTACCTTCACCATTGTAATTACTTGCTCTGGATCAAAGTGTCCATGCAGTCTGTCATCCACTAAATCGGTGACATTCCCTGTAGCCTGAATCTTTTTGGCCTCCTGGACAAACTCTGGAAACTCCACTTGCCTTTCATCTACCACTATGCCGCTTGAAACCCTGATTCCTGTCACAATCTCAAGGAGCACTACTCCATAGCTGTAGACATCAACCTTTGCATTGATCGGCAAATTCAACGCCCATTCTGGTGCCATGTAGCCCATTGTGCCCCTCATATGGGTGAAATTGAAACTAGTGCTGTCTCGCTTTGCAAGTTTGGCTAGTCCAAAGTCTGCTATCTTGGCATCGAAATCTCTACTTAGAAGTATGTTTTCTGGTTTCACATCACAATGCACGACCCACTCAAGGCATTCGTGATGAAGATAAGCAAGACCCCTGGCTGTGCCCAGGGCAATCCTGTACCTTTGGCTCCAACTTAGCAGGCTTTCGTGGCATCTCTCACCAAAGAGGTACTTGTCCAATGACTCGTTCTCCACATACTCATATACCAATAGTCTGTTTGTCCCTTCTGAGCAAAACCCCCACATCCTTACCAAATTTATGTGATTGATCCTCCCAATTAGAGTCACTTCTGCCCAGAATTCCTCCTCTCCTTGCCGAACGTCTGTAAGCTTCTTTACTGCCACTATTTTCTTATCTTCAAGTACTCCTCTATAAACAATTCCAGCCCCACCCCTCCCAAGCTCTTCTTTGAATTTTCCAGTCGCTTCCTTCAATTCTCGGTATGTAAATCGCCTGAACTGGTTTGTTATCATCTTGTATCCATCCTCCATGGACTTGGGTATGTTATGCTTCTTGAAAAAAAGGTACCAGCCTGTCACTATTACAAGCGACTCTAGACCTCCCAATATTGCAGCAAAAACATAGAAGTATGCCCACTTTATATTGTCCTTCTTTGTTCCATACATACTTGCTGAGCCTAGCATGATCTCAGGAGCACTGAGGTTGCAAGTGAGTCTTTGTTGTTTGGAGATTGAGGGTGTTGATTTGCTTGAATTCTTAGGTACTTTCATGTAGTTGTCTCCGGGGAAATATGGGTACACCTGACCATTGTAGAGTAAGCCTTTAGTGTAACATAAACCATCCCCACCCTTGTATGTGAATGATAAGCAGGAGCTGCTGTTCAAGCAAATATTCTGACATGCTTCAAATGAGATGGATTTATTTGATCCCAGATCGAAGCCATAGAAGTCTGCATGAGGCTGTTTGACGAACATAAAGTCCTCATGTGGTCTTTTGCTATCGATTGTAAACGTTGGTTCACATCCTTTGTTCCAATCTGTTGGATCAACCATCACATATTCTGGAGGACATCTACATCTTAGACCTCCCGAGTAGTCACATATCCCATTCTTGCCGCATAGCCCATGAACATAACACATCTGTATCACGGCCTGCCCTGTGATAGTCCAGTTGCCCGTTGACTCGTTCAAGCTGTACATTCTAAAATTGCCATCATAATCAATTGTAATCCTTCTCTTGATCCTAGGACCTGAATCTGTAGCCTCTATCTTGAATCCATCACTTGACACAAAATTACCCTCATCATCAAGAAATGCTATCCTGGTGCTGTTAAATCTAGTACGCCCATTTTTTTCGGCATTATAATCTGGACTTGGCCAGTAGATGCTTGTAATCTCTGGGCCGTCATATAATAGGCGCAGGACATTATCGTTATCAAAGTAGAGGTGATGATAACGAGAGACTAACCTTATGTTTTTGGTCAGGTTCTGCCATGGCAGCAAGGTATCGGTCGGTGAGTCGAAGCTCTGCCACACAGTACTATTGCTGGAATCCTTGATTACAAGATTGCCGGTGTCAAGAAGGGTAACTGTAGTATGCTTGCCTGAAGATGTCTTGCTTTCCCACACCGTCGTGCCGTTGGTATCTGTGAGGACTAGGTTGCCATCATGGCCCAGCGACACCCTGGAGCCGTAAAGGTTCACTGGGGAGTATCCCCCATTCGCCGGAGAGTAGGGATTCGCCGTCCACACGGCAGTTTTCTCGGTGGTGTGGGTGTACCAGATCGAGAAGGTGAAAGCATTTGTGCCAAGCTGATGGAAGCCGCAAGAGAAGGTGGTATCAGGTGAGAGGAGGAAGATCTTGTCATGGTCCTCAGCTCTGATGTGTGAGCCGGTCGTCATGGTTCGCCATGGGGAAGCACAAGAGCAGAGGTGGAAGGAGAGTGATGAGAGGATGGTTAGATACAGCAGCGCAGCCATTATCTCCTTTTCCAGGGAGCTTTGGCTATCGAAGTAGAGAGAAGAAGAGAGACAGAGAGAGGCAGGTAGCTTTAGGTTCAGTTTTAACACTATGCGGCTTACTTAGGTGACGATATGCATTAGCGCGCATGTGGCCGTAATACCCATGTATGTTGCTGACTTGAACAATTGAATACTGGGGTTGGTAAGGCAAAAAAACTGTTGGGCATCTCCACGGTGTACACATTGCATTGTCCTACTATATTGCTTGATTTAGACTGCAAGACGGAATATTGTCAACTTCATGGGGGCATCCATGTTTCTTTCAATGTGTGAAAGAGGAGTACCGATGAAACCGTGATTTTGTATATTATATATATCAGTTTTTCCTCCCTTCTGCCCCAAGCTAAGTTCTTTTACATAAGCAACTAGTGTATGAAAGTTAAAAGTATCTTTAAAGAAGAACTTTATTTGGGAGTAAAAAGAGGACAATTTTTGGATGAATAGTAATAGAGAAAATCTATTATATGCCATTAACTTTGTCACACTTCTACAATTTACCACTGACTTTATCACGTTCTACAATATACCATCAACTTTCACTTAACTTCTACGATTTACTATTGCCGTCCGGTTAGTCTCAGTGAGTACTGTACAAATTTATTGAAATGATCAAAATATCCCTGGGAACAAAAACTTTCAAATTTTGGACAAAAATTCTGAAATATCAAATTTCATGTTTTAGACCAAATTTTAGATGGTTACAATCTTATGTTTATAATATGATATTTTGAAATTTTTATCCAAAATTTGAAAGTTTTTGTCGTAGGGGTATTTTGGTCATTTGGACAAAATTGTACAGTGTTAACGGAGGCTAACCGGACAGCGATGGTAAATCGTAGAAGTTAAGCAAAAGTCGATGGTATATTGTAGAATGTGACAAATTCAATGGTAAATCGTAGACATGTGACAAAGTTAGTGGCATATAATGGATTCTCTCATAGTAATATGGCACTATTCACCTAAAATTTATCTCTTTTTTTTCCTCTCAAATGAAGTTGAGTTTGAACTTGTGATTTCGTGTGAATGTATGTGATGCCTACTGCTAACTCCAATATTTTTTTTGATGAATTTAGAGAACTTTTAGGTATGGTTTTCACTTATGATTTTCACTGGATATTTTCTCATTATCTACCCACCAGATCTGTCTCTGATGTCATGTTTAATATTTATCAATTTATGATGGACAAAACAAATAGTATGGCTGCATCGTATCGTAAAAAGTTTGTGTACGATCTTATTTTGTTCATGACCTGAAGTCGTCGTCATCTCTCTCTCAATATTTAAAAGTCATTTCTTTGGTATTTGCCCAATATAAGAAGCGCCCCACTGATAGCAATTTGGATGACGAAATCAACGATATTAATAGTAGTTTGGATCTTGACATGATAGCTTGTGGTTTGATCAAACGACTCTTCGTTTCAGTTTGCCCATTCTATCTTTTTATCTTGCACTAAGTCTCTTCTAAAGCGCACACAGTCATCAGCACTTACCAATTTCGCTTTCCGATTTGATGTGTCATTAGCTGATCTTTCTCTGGTGGCGAGACATTTTACCTGGTTTTGACCTGACCAGCTGATCTCATTCTGCAGGGGAAACCATGCACTTGGTCATACTAGTTCTACTGCCCAAATAATGCAAAACTGCAAGAATTACCCCTCTTGGCTACTGGCTTTGTTTGACACAATGGCACTTACACTCTTTCAGGATTTGATAGTACATAACCACAAATAGTAGACGCACATATGCATGTAGCTGGCAATGGCATCTTCTTGACCTGCCGCTCCAATTGTAATTCCAGTACAGTCTATAGGGAAGTTGAAGTATCATATTCTATAGACTGTCTTAATTTAAGACTAATTGCACAAATTTTGTACGACCTAGTGGCCTAAGACTTCACATCTTGCCTGGTTTTTTTTTTTTTGTGCATCTTTCAGCTTCTAGAACCGGCTGGCCTGCAGGCACACCAGTAGTGACTTCACATCTTTAATCTGCTAGTGCTAGTTGTCTGAGGGTAAGGTTTCATGCTCAACCGCTCAAACTAGGACCTGCAATGCAAGTGTCGTATTTTTCTTCTCACATTCTTGTAACATAACATCAGTGCTTGGACAGCATCGACCAACTGGTCTTTCTTCTCCCTTGCCCGGTCTTGGATCCATGGATCGTTTTCCTGCAGCTTTCTGATCGATGCAATTAAGCTTGCTTTGCCTTCAGCTATCGTCAGTGCTTGACTGACCATGCGAGTATAACGTAGCTGCCTCTTCCTGGTCAATATCGTTACCTGCCATGGACAAAATGTAAAATACTCCAGGAAAATCCATTATATATCTATATGATACCCACAAAACCTTATTTTTGTGGTGTACTCCTAATCTTATTGTATACTCCCTCCGTACTCATAAAGGAAGTCGTTTAGGACAGCGACACGGTTTCCAAAACACAACTTTGACTTCTTGTTTCTATAAAAATATTTATTGAAAAATGATATATGTATATTTTTATGAAAGTATTTTTTAAAACAAATCTATTCATATAATTTTTATATTTTCAAACTCAACAACTTGAGAGTTATTCATGATTTATATTCTCAAGGTTTGACTTAAACATTGTTCTAAACGACTTCCTTTATGAGTACGGAGGGAATATGTACAGGATTTGAGCTCTTCTTTTCGCGAAAAGAGAGAATTTGAGCTCTTTTACAGTGCTCCTTGGCATTGGCGTTGCAAGCCATGGGACCTCACTGGGCTGCAATGCTGAAGCTTCTTCCCTATCTGAATAGATTGACCTCAGTTGTAGTGGGCAATGGTATCAGAGCCAGCTTTCGGAAAGATCGATGGCTTATACAAATGCCACTGCAAGAGAAATTCCCAGCTCTATTCACCCCTTCCAGGCAACAACAAGCAACAGTGGCAGTACATGCAAAGAATATTGTTCCGTCTCCAATTTGCGCAAAATATGCAGCTTAGCAGATGAAACAACAAGCTACCTCTTTCTTCACTGTCCTTTTGCCTCTGGTCTATGGGCTTCACTCCACATCGATCCAGGTATTGACGATGTAAAACAACTCCATGCATTACAACCACCATCAGTCATCCCGACAGCGCACTTCCGCCCCTTCTTTCTGCTCTGCCTTTGGGGACTCTGGAACCACCGCGCCATGATGCCATCTTCAGAAACCAGGAGCCTTGTCATCGTCGCCTCCTCCAACGATGTATCGAAGACGCAACTCTCTGGGCACACCGGTTAAAGAGCCAGGATAGAATCGTTGTTTCCACCTGGAAGCAAGTACTCTCCCACCCCCTAAATTCTGATCAAATGGTGCAATTGGATCTCAAATTTATTAGGAAGTTCTTCCTCTAGAATCCTCCTAAATGGATGCCCCGGTAACCCAATTTTACATAAGAGAGGTCTAAGACAAGGAGACCCACTTTCTCCTATGCTATTTATTCTAGCTATGGAACCACTGCATCTGATCTTCAAAGCAGCCGAGGAAGCCTTAATTCTCAAGAAAATAGATCCGAGACGACAAAGATTTCGTTGTTCCTTCTACGCGGACGACGTGGCTCTCTTCATCCCTCCAGAGGCACAGGAACTAACAACTGTAAAGAACATTCTCCACACTTTTGCAAGGATCAGCGGCCTCCACACAAATCCTTCCAAAACAGAGGTTTTCCCGATAGCTTGTGATAATCTGAATGTTGAAAGCCTTCTAAATTCATTCATGGGGAATTTAAAAACCTTCCCATGCAATTATCTCGGCATACCCCTTCATACGAGAAAACTGAGGAAAATAGATCTACAGCCTCTAGTAGATAAGGTGGGTGCAAGAATACCAGGTTGGAAGGGAAGATTCTTTACTTCAGCAGGAAGGGAAGTGTTAGTGAAAACAACACTTACGGCAACACCAATTTACCACCTCACGGTACTGCCACAAATGAAATGGGTTTTCAAGAAAATTGATCGTTTCAGACGTGCCTTTCTTTGGAAGGGAGAGGACCCTGAAAATGTGAATGCCGGTAGCAGTTTAATTAATTGGCAAGAGGTATGTAAACCAAAGAATTTGGGAGGACTTGGTATTTTAAACTTAGAAAAATTTGCAAGAGCATTGCGCCTCCGTTGGCTTTGGTATAATTGGAAAGATGATACAAAACCGAGGGTGAATATGTCAGTTCCATGTGATGAAACTGATAGATGCCTATTCAGAGCTGGGACAAAAATTGAGATCGGGGATGGAAGAAAAACCTCTTTCTGGTTAGACAATTGGTTGGATGGCCAAACACCCAAGGATCTAGCTCCGACAATTTTTAGGCTTGCAAAGAGAAAAAGTAATAGTCTACATGCTGATCTGAACAACAATCATTGGCTATCTCTGTTAAATCCAATCACTTCCTTGGAGGAGGTAAACGACCTTGTCCAGCTGGGGGGAAGACTTCAGAACATATCCCTACAAGATGGACTGGCGGATGAAATAATTTGGAGATGGACTGAAAATGGGGTTTACTCAGAAAAGAGTGCCTATCTTGCCCAGTTCCAGGGATCACACACAAACGTTTTTTACGAGCCTCTTTGGACCACATCTGCAGAACCAAAGCATCGATTTTTTGGCTGGTTAGTCTTACACCAACGAACTCTTACCGCGGAAAATCTGCTGCGCTGACACTGGCCATGCGACTGGATTTGTAGTCTATGTAGGGGGGCCTTCGAGGATGCCACACATCTAGCAAAAGAGTGCCCCTTTACGAACTTGGTTTGGAACCATGTCAGTAGTTGGCTTGACATTCAAGCACCACAACAACATACAGCACCTTCCATTGAAGACTGGTGGAGCACCCTCTGCAGGATCAAGCCTAAATCAAGAAGGAAGCACATTCTGAGTGTCCTTTTAACAACATGGTGGAATATTTGGCTAGAACGTAATAGGAGGATTTTCCAAAATTCTTCAAAAAGCGAGCTGCAGGTGGCCTTCCTAGTTAAAGAGAATATAGACCTCATCAACCAATCCAGGCTCTATTGCTGCTGATAGAACCTGGTCCTCAGGCGTTCTTTCCTTGGGTTGTAAATTTAATCGCAGGAGCTGTACTGCCCTGTTGTTGTTTTCGTTTATGCACCCTCTGTAAGACTCTCTTGATTTATTTCTTCTAATATATACGGCAAATCTCCTGCCGTTTAATGTTTCAAAAAAAAAATTCTGATCAAATGTAATAGCAGGCCGCTGGCCCTTCTTTTGTTTCTGTTTGTGTTTGTATGAACATCTCTGCTTTAATTTCAATGGAAATTCAGGTGGGGAAGCTCTCCCCTCCGGTGATTATTAAAAAAAAAAAGAGTATTCAGATCATCAGATGTATATCAAAATTTTAGAGAAAAAGGTATATACAATATGTAATACGCATGTGCATGAAAAAAAAGGGAAAAATAAGGCTGTATTCAGACCAAAATAAATATAAACCAATCTTTCTTAGTTTCTTACACTCTTCTGATCTTCTCCAATGGTCTAATTCGCACAAGTTTACTCGGCGCCGGCGTAGACAAAATACCATGTTATTATTCCCGAAAAAATACCATGTTATTACTGTTTTTTTTAAGAACATGCTATTAACCATTTAACCGAATTAAAAAACCCTAAAATACCCAAACAAGTCAATGATACTACACCATCACGAGTAAAAGATCTGCAAAAAAACGTAGAAGGGGAAAAAAGGGAGCGACGACACGAGCCAATCAGCCAAATGTCACGAGTAATCTATTGAAGATTTCTCTGGAATGGGCCTTATATGGGCCTAGATTCTCCCTCTCAACCAAAGTGTGGCCTCAGCAGCCCACATTTATTTTCCGACAATTATCGGGCTCGGCCTCTTCGCGCCGGATCGTCTCACTCTCACCCCTTCCATAGTGGCCAGCTCGGCCTCGATCCACATCGTCGTTGTTGCACACAGCTTCGATCCACACCGCCGCCATCGTTCATGGCTTTGATCCACGCCGCCGCAAACATCCATAGCTTCGAAGCCAATAGTTAACCCTGATTTTGTCTGAACTCTGATTTTTCTCTGAACAATTGAGCAAGATCTGTCTCCTTTGGTATATAATAAAATTCCAGCACATACATCACTAAAACTTGAAACATGGAAAGGCTCATCCTGGTACTTCTGAATGTTATTTCATACAGATGAAAGCTTACAAATGTTAAAAGTTCGTTGAGCAATAGGTAGTCAAATTTCTGTTCTGTGTTTTGTTCATACCGTAACCTGCTCACCTGCTGCTAGCTTCATAATACCCAAATGTTCAGAAATGGAATTGGCGCTCGTCGATTCGTTAAAAAAAAAAAGGAAAAACAGATGTTCAGAAGGGAAAAGAAATTCAGGTGTAATAGAAGGGTTTTTTGGGTGACCCCAAAATTACAAGTGGAAAATATTTGTAGGGGTAAAGATTAACCAAACATCCAAGCGTGCCCTTAGCAATCAGAACCGCATCCTGGGTAGGGGTGGATAAAAAGCTTGGGCTCGTGAGCTCAGCTCGGGCTTGGCTCGAGCTCACTTAGCTCGGCTCGGCTTGAATGCCAAACGAGCCAAGCCCAAGTCTCCCTTTCAGCTCGTTTCTAAAACAAGCCGAGCCCGAGCTGGCTCGCGAGCCGCTTGATTTGGCTCGTGAGCCTAGGCCATCATGTATTTATATGGATGATTTTATCTTCTAGTGGAGTTATTATTTGTTAATATGTAATTTATCATCTATATTTTGATGAATTGAATATATAAAGTTATTTTAATTTTACATGTTGATGATTTGTTATTGCTTTTCTTAATGATTACAAATTATGTATCTTCAACGGAAGGCTCGCAAGCCAGCTCGAGCTGGCTCGAGCTAAGAAATAAGCCGAGCCGAGCTCATATTTTAACTCGTTTTACTAACCGAGCCGAGCCAAGCCTAACTTGTTGCGAGCCGAGCTAAGCTTGTCTTGGCTCGTTTCCACCCCTAATATTGGGTGACATAGAATGATGGTGCACCATAGTTTCTTACCTAGGACCTGTTTAGATTTCAACTTTTTTTCTTCAAACTTCCAACTTTTCCGTTACATCAAACTTTCCTACACACACAAACTTCCAACTTTTCTGTTCCAATTTCTTCAAACTTCTAATTTTGGCGTGTAACTAAACACAGCCCTAGCGTAGAAGCTCTATGAAGCTCCAGTATTAAATTCTAGCATCGGTCAGTTTAGGCATGCACAAGCACAAGTGGTATATCGTCAGTAACAAGAAGACAAAGGAGCACAATCAATCACTGACCACGGATGAACATATTGGACCAATAGCTAGTAGTAAACCAATCATCAGCACTTCAAATCAAATGGAATGTTCTATACTAAGCAGCTGGTTCCTTCCAGGAACATGAAAAATTGAAAACTCTAAACACTAGCGACACGCTCACGGCGGCTCACCCGTGACAGATCCTGACCTCTCTCGCGGAGCACTCGCCGCCTCGTCGGCCCTTGGACCGGCATGAGGAATCCGACTCACTGCTGAACTTTGAACAGCTCCAGCTGGTTCATTGAGCTGAAAATGTTTTGGATGTTTGTTTAGAGATCCCCTCGGAAGTGTTACAACCTGCAAAGATTTATCGACGTAAAATCAGCAAGCATAAATCATAAGCCAGCTTTAGGAAGCGTGATCACAATTTGCCGGCTACACCAATCAATTTGGGAACCTATAATAACGGGCACAACTTTAGTGTTCAGTCTACTTTTAATAGCCAATTAAAAAGAAAAGATAAACCATGTCAGTTCGGCTAGCATCGCCGCAATGATATTGGTACCACGACTCCACGAGACAGTGACAACACAATGATCAATGACAATACAATACCGAACTGCCCGGTCAGACATGGCTACATGACTTGCGCGTCACTGTCACCCTAACGATCAGGGCATTTATCATGCAAATTACCAAACGAATTGTCCACCTCTACAACTGGCAATCAACAAGTCAGCATCCCAAACAATGGCATGGAATGAACATAGCCAATCTTTGCTCCAAGTAGACAAATTACTCCCATATATAGTTATATACTCTAGAGTCCATATAGCTAGCAGCACCAAACAGAATGTTTTTTTTGGGATACGCGAGGGACGCATCTTTGTATTAAGGAATAAAGTATTTACAGAGCGGGCCGAAAAATCAAAAACACGAAGGGGACAAGATACAGGAGGGGGGAGGAGGAAGAAAATAAAAGCCTAATCTCCCAACGAATGTGGCGACCTTCCACCCGACATAGGGGTCGCCATGGCCGGTATCGCGGCTCTAGCCAACCGCCAAAGGTCTGCTTCGCCCGTCATGGCCCTAGCAATTTCCGCCCATGTCCTACTCTTTTGGTTGAAGACCCGATTGTTTCTTTCTTTCCAAATCGTCCACGCCAAACAGAATGTTGGTATTGAGAAATAATGAGGCAGCTCTCAAAAATGTGAAAGCTGTCATGAAGATTGTATGACCAAGACAAGAAACATGTCAAATATTTAAGCTGCACGATTAGAGAATGATGGTAAAAACAAAAGTTCAGACCTTCTAAAATTAGAGAGCTTTAAAAGCAGTAATATATTCAATCACTTTCATATACCTGAAAGCCGCCAGGACTGAATGCAATGCGACAATGTCCTGAAGGAGCACTTAACTATTCCCGGTTTACTGGTTTAGGCATGTAGAATTTGCAGCATGGATTCAAATTTGACTCCACGAAAGAACCTTTGCAACAAGTGGATATCAAATAAGGATGAGGCAGAGCATCATAAATGGAAGCAAACACCTTCCTCCATACCATGATCTGATGGCCTGAACACAAAGAAAACAAAATGGCAAGATTACTCTGTCTAGTCATTCTTCCCTTGATCAGTGTACTGCCATTCTCATATGCTTCACCCCTGTTGATGCTAAGCACCGGCTCATCCTTATTTGTTGAAGAGCATAAGCAAACCTTCCTTACCTCACCAAACGCCGATTTCTCTTGTGGCTTCTATGAAGTTGGAGGGAATGCTTTCTCCTTCTCCATCTGGTTCACCAACAGCAAGAATAGGACCGTCGTATGGTCTGCAAACCCCAAGTCCCCGGTAAATGGCCATGGCTCTAAGGTGACACTGAACCATGAAGGTAACCTGGTCCTCGCTGATGTCAATGGCACCGCAAATTGGGACAGCAAGACGAGCTCTGGCAAGGGCACAACGGCTGTCCTTCTTGACACTGGCAATCTCGTCATCAGAGACTCCACAGGCACGAAGTTATGGCAAAGCTTCTGGGCACCAACGGATACCTTGCTTCCATTACAGCCTCTCACCAAAGGTACAAGACTGGTCTCTGGTTATTTCAACCTCTATTTTGACAATGACAATGTGTTACGCCTCATGTATGATGGGCCAGAAATATCTAGCATCTATTGGCCAAGTCCAGACTACTCAGTGTTTGATATTGGGAGGACTAGCTACAATGGCTCCAGGAATGCAATCCTTGACACTGAAGGACACTTCCTCTCAAGTGATAAGCTGGATATCAAGGCTGCTGATTGGGGTGCTGGAATCAACAGAAGGCTGACGCTTGATTATGATGGGAATCTAAGAATGTATAGTTTGAATGCATCAGATGGGAGCTGGAAAGTCTCATGGCAGGCTATAGCAAAATTGTGTGATGTGCATGGACTGTGTGGCGAGAATGGTATATGTGAGTTCTTGCCAAGCTTCAAGTGTTCTTGTCCCCCTGGATATGAGATGAGAGATCCAACAAACTGGAGCAGAGGTTGTCGTCCACTATTCAGCAAAAACTGCAGCAAAATAGAAGAATATGAGTTCTTCAAGCTCGCTCAAACCGACTTTTATGGCTTCGATCTAATCATCAACCAATCCATCTCACTTAAAGAATGTAAAAAGACTTGCTTGGACATCTGCTCCTGCTCAGCAGTCACGTATAAGACAGGGTCTGGAACTTGTTACATCAAATATGTACTCTTCAATGGCTACAGCTCCACAAATTTTCCGGGTGATAACTACATCAAACTACCCAAGAATATGGTTTCCAAACAGTCCGATCTCTCATGCAACCCAACCAAAGAGATTGTACTAGGATCTTCAAGTATGTATGGAATGAATGATGCAAATAAAAATTATGCAACCTATTATGTGTTTGCAGCAGTATTGGGAGCTCTAGTGCTAATCTTCACAGGTACAAGCTGGTGGTTTCTTTACAGCAAGCACAACATACCCATGTCAATGGAGGCAGGCTACAGGATGGTAACAAGCCAATTCAGGATGTTCACGTACCGAGAATTAAGGGAGGCAACTGGAAAGTTCAAGGAAGAGATTGGAAGAGGAGCCTCTGGTATTGTTTACAGAGGAGTACTTGAAGATAAGAGAGTGATAGCCGTGAAGAGGCTAATGAATATTTCACATGGTGAGGAGGAATTCTGGGCAGAAATGAGTATTATTGGAAGGATCAATCACATGAACTTAGTTAGGATGTGGGGTTTTTGCTCCGAGGGTCAACAAAAACTACTGGTGTATGAGTATGTGGACAATGAATCACTGGACAAGTATTTATTTGGTGATGTAAGTGCTGAGCGATTGCTTGCATGGAGCCAACGGTTCAAAATAGCGTTGGGTACAGCTAGAGGTTTGGCCTATCTCCATCACGAGTGCCTAGAGTGGGTTGTCCATTGTGATGTAAAACCAGAGAACATACTTCTGACCAGAGATTTTGAAGTGAAGATAGCAGACTTTGGACTGGCCAAACTCTCAAAGAGAGACAGTACCAGTTTAAACTTCACGCATATGAGGGGTACAATGGGCTACATGGCACCAGAATGGGCGTTGAACTCACCAATCAATGCAAAGGTTGATGTCTACAGTTATGGTGTTGTTCTTCTTGAGATTGTAACTGGAAGCAGGATATCAAGCGGGATAAAAGTGGATGGGAGGGAGGTGGAGCTCAGAGATTTTGTGCAGGTCATGAAACATATTCTGGCTACTGGGGACGTCAAGGATGTAATTGATACTAGACTGAATGGGCATTTCAATTCTGAGCAAGCAAAGGTAATGGTGGAAGTTGCTATATCTTGTCTTGAAGAAAGAAACAGCAGGCCTACAATGGATGAAATTGCAAAAGCCTTCCTGGCATGTGATGACGAAGACAATCACCCAGCCTACTCATGGTGACCTGCAAAGCAATAGTGTTTTGATTTGAAGGATCAAAAACTAGTTATTCAGTTTAGCATGCACAATACTTGAAGTAAACAGTTCTTGTTAGAGAAAATAAGTCAGATACTTCTATAAATTCATTTCAGTATAGTGGCAGGTTTGTTTATTCAAATGTACATCCAATAGAAAAATAAGTGTGTTGGATCAGTGGAACGCTGTACCAATGTTTAAAGTTCTTAACTTTGCACTTCTGGTGAGTCTCCTGAGAATCTCCTCATACTGACGTGTCATTCTCCACGTATATATTTCCACGTAGCTAAGAATAATTTGTAGTTGTGTTGCTGGTGTAGTCATCTGTTGGGAAATACAGCAACAGCATCCAACAACTATTTCTTCACATTTTTTCACCCGTTAGAGATCTAACCAGGAAAGACCCTTCCATCATGCTTTAGACAACGAGTAGTGTCTCACGATATGACCACAAATAAATTTACGAATTTAAGTATTTGTTGTTCCCTGGAATAGTAAGGTTGAATTAATATGCTAGGCTGCTAGCTGATTTGCCCAGATAATGTACAAAGCTTAAAGAGAATATAGAATCCAAGAATAAATAGTTGACTTGAGTATGACATCCTGTAACTTACCTAGTCATCCATGATCATGTGTGGTAGTTATGTAAACATAATACAAATCAATGATAATCAGCACAGTCCGCAGAATGTTTGCTAAAAATTCCCTCAAGGCACTGAGTATCAGAGATTAAAATGGCAAATAGGATTTGAGGGTGCCTCACCTACGAGTAGTTAATACTATATAATATGGCCATTTTGATCCTAAACAAGTGAATTAAGATAATGATGAAAGGTGCTAGACTGCTACACCTATCGTTGGAAAATTTGTAAGGACCAGAAAGGAACTCTTTCCTTGAAAGAACCAGCTCACTAATAATGATTTAAATACTGGAAGTTCTCCTAGAATACAACCACCGCGATAATCAGACAACCTACTAATGGTGACCAATAACAACACTAATTTTATTTTGCAAGAAGAAGAATTATTATACCATAGAGAAAAGATCAGTTCGAGCATGTTATGAATTCTTCTTAGGGCAATAATATATCAACTTGTTCTTAATTGTAATGAATCTGTTGAATATTCTAGTGTCTGTATGAACTCTTGCATGAAACTAAGTAGGTTCATTTAGAAAGAAGTACGATACCAGTACCTTTATTTGATGGCAAGCTGCGTTCAGTTATTCAGAAGGGCCCAAGTAAGGATATGATATACACAATATCAATTTAGTGCACATTTCTCTTGATCCTTTGGCGCATGATTTACACTACCACAGTACCATGTGATCTCGTAAGCAGTAAGCTTACTTTCCTTAAAAAATATACACATACACAAAGCCATAAAGGATACGCTCTCCGCTATGCACAGCCGCATTCAGTTCTAGGGATGGCTCATCGCCTCATCTATCTACTGCTGCGACATCACCTGTGGGGTACCAATTGACGGCAAAAATGTCAGTTTTCTAATACCATCACGAGACTAGTAATAACATAACCGAGCCATCAAGAGGGAGGGGCCCGCGATATGTCCTCAATCATCCGAGTCATCCCCGATTCCCCATTCTCGTGGTTGCCGCCAAGGTGTTCGATAGAATTCCGCAAAGACAATAGAGGTCTGCACGGGGCAGGGACAAGGGCGGAGGAGGGAGGGGGGGGGGGGGGGATAACATTCACCTGCGCAGAGAGCACGCCGGACGCGGCCGGGGACACGGAGAGAGCTGCAGATCTGATGGCTCCGCTGGTGGCAAGAGGCCCGAGGCAACGTGGTTGAGGCGGAGCGAAGGCGAGCGCAGCGGCAGTTCGGCACTCGGCGCGGCTGGTTCGCTGGTGAAGTGGGGAGTGGGGAGTGGTGAAGTGGTTCAGTCGCAGAGTCGCTCAAGGGCCAAGGCGGTTTGAAGGATGTCTAGTTCACCTCTTGAATCATCTATCAGCACTAACTAGCTTTTTCATAACGAAATTCGAAGTGATGGCGTTCTACATGGTAATACTCCCTCCGTCCAAAAAAAAAAACTCAACCTACTACTTCGATGGGATATAATCTAGTACAACAAATCTAGATAGGAGTACTAGGTTAAGTTTTTTTGGGACGAAGGAAGTATGCGGTAACTTTACATCCACCGTAGATCTATAAATTTGAATATATTAAATCTGGATATAGATATATGTCCATATTCATAATTCTAAAATACTTCTAATCTTATTCTAAATTACTAATCTATCTATCTATCTATCTATCTATTATATTATTAAAACAGCTCGAAAAGAAGGCATCACGTTCGTTGTGGGGCTAGAAATTCCCACATTAATCGAAGAAAAAGAAAAGAAGAGTCCAAATAGAAATATAATTTAAAAATAGCTGAAATTCGGAATTATAAATAAGCAATATTGAAAGAAGAGTTCGTATAAGAATCCAATACGAGATTAATTAAAATTCGGAATAAAAATAAAATAAAATCTGAAATTGGAAAAAGAAGAGTCTATGTAGGAATATAATCTAGAAATAATTGGAATTCGGAATTAAAAATAAAGAATATTAAAAGAAGAGTCCATATAAGAATCCAATACGAGATTAATTAAAATTCGGAATAAAAATAAAATAAAATCCGAAATTAGAGAAATAAAAAAGATAGTTTGAGTAGGATGAAACAACTATAAAATTGAAAATAAAAAACATTAAAAAATAATTCATATAAGACATAATACGATATTAACCAAAATTCTAAATAAAAATTAAAATAAATTCCAAAAATAGAAAAAGGAAAAATAATAGTTCACCTAGGAATAAAATTTATAAATAACTTAAATTTGTCATAAAAAAATAAAAACTATTGAAATAAGAGACCATCTAGAACATATCACAAGATTAACTAAAATTTGAAATAACAAAAAAATAAATTCTGAAAATAGAAAAATAATTATAAGAGTTTAAGTAGGAATATAATTTGTAAATAAAAATATCGGAATGAAAAATATGGACTTCTAAAAAAAACTCCATCTAGAACACAAATGATGACAAACAACAATAAAGAGGGGGAGAAGCAACAAGTTTATAAAGAAGTAGAACGGTGGCGGTTGACAGGACATCTAAAAACAATTAACAAAACCTCAAATAGAATCCCAATGATGATTAAAAGGAGGGACGACGGATGGGCCGTTAAGCAGCCGGTCATGGCAGTTGGCGGGACTTATAGAAAGTAAAATATGAATCCAAATAATAATTATGTTCGATTTTTAAAATCCCAATGACAATAAAGAGAAGAGGCAGTGGATAGGCCGAAGAGAAGTACGGTGACAGGGTTTGATATGACTTCTAAAAATTATAAAAAGATGACAAATGACAACAAATATAGGAGAAGCAACATGCATGTAAAGGATTAGAGTGGTGGCGGTTGATGGAATATCTAAAAACTATAAACAAACCCCAAATAGAATCCCAATGATGATTAAAAGGAGGGACGATGGACGGGTCATAAAGTAGCATGGTTACAACGGTTGGCGGGACTTCTAAAAAGTAAAAAAAAAAACCCAATGATAATCATGTTCGAATTTTAAAATCTCAAAGACAATAAAGAGGGAGGCAGCGGGAGAGCAGTACATGTGTACAATGGTAAAGGTGCTGACAGTTTGGTGGAACTTCTAGAAAGTAAAAAAAGAACCCAAATGGTAATTACGTTTGATTTTTAAAATCCCAATGAAAATAAAGAGAAGAGGCAGTGGATGGACCGTAGAGTAGTATGGTGGCAGCATTTGACGAGACTTCTGAAAATTATAAAAACAAAACCCAAACGAGACAATAAACTCTAAAAACTATAAGTCTAATTTTTAGAGGTTTTTAGTGAGACCAAATTGTCGGAGATATGGGCCCGGGGGTATGTGGAGTAAAGGAGAGCTACTTCCCTTTCCAGCCACGTGGCTCTGCGAGCTGGTCCCACCCACATACCTCGTGAGTCACTAAGGTGATGGGGAGAGCCTCGGGGGTCGACGACATCCCCTCGGGGGTGACGTCACCCCCTCGGGCTCTCCCGTCGTTTTAGCCCGAGGCCCTCCCTCGGGGGGAAGGGTGAGAGGGGAGTCTAGGCTGGGCGGCCATAAATGTGCAGCGCCCCAACCGTCCCTCGCTGCGTTCAATGCGGCGAGGGCAGACGTGCGGCGTGCCCGACCGACCCCTGTCAGTCGGATACGACCGGTCTGTGACCAGTCTATTGCCGGTCACGGCCGATTGAATGGATGGTCGTGCCCCCACGTCGCCTCTGTCTCCGCGGAGTGGCGGTAGGTACGCCCCGTCACATCCGGACGTCGTTCGATATAGGGCTGCCGCAAGTCCTCACTCATTTATGAGGGAATGACAGGGCTGCCCCCCGTGTCAGGCGGGAGACGGCGCTGGGCCCCACTCAAGGACCGACCGATGCTTAGCTTCCAGCAAAAGGCACGGGTTGAAACCCGGTGGGAAGAGGGAGAAGGGCCCCCTCCCCTCCCTCCGATGGAGGGGGAGGGTAGAGGCGGTGCATGTGGTATCCCCTTAAGCTATAAAAGGAGGACCTTGCCCACCGGAGAGCGGAGAGGAGCAAGGAGAACCTTGTAAAAGTCCACTGATAATCCCAAACGCAGGAGGAGGGTATTACGCTCCAGAGCGGCCTGAACCTGGGTAATCGAATTGTGTGCTATCTAAACGGGGATCGGAGGGACGAACACGCGACTTCGGAGAGACGAGTCTCTGCCCTCGGCCGAACTCACGAAAGGGGGGTCACGCGACTTCCCGCGATCGGGGGGTCTTCCCTCGACAGCTGGCGCGCCAGGTAGGGGGCAGTTGCGCGTTTGAGAAGAAGTCGCTTCCTTCCGCTCCAAGTCGGACCAGGCCCTAGACCGCCATGGTCGAGGTCCTGGAAGCGGGGGAAGCGGTGGCGTTTACCCCCACCCCGTCTGGGAGTGGGGATTCGGGCGAAAACCGTGACCCTCATCACCATCGCCGTGGCTCTCGAAGTCCTCCCCGCCGCGAGCCTTCGCGGAGGGAGGATCCAACCCGTTCAAGTGGTACGGCCCTCTCCCGCCCCCAGGCGGAGGGAGGTCGCGACGCGTCGGAGCACGTCATCGTCTCGACTACGGAGACGGTGGTTCGCCCCAAGGCGCGCTTCAGGCGGTGGGCGCCCTTCTGCGGCATCCCCCGGTGAACCCGGAGCCGGAGACCCCCG